TTTCGTCTTGCGCGCGCGAATGTCCACTTTACCTTATTTTTTGCAAGGGATTATTGAAATTTGATTATGTTAGAACAAGAAAAAGTAGCTCGCGCGAGCTCATGTAACGTAAATGTTGAAAAACCATTGGTTTTGTGGGATTCGGACAGCGCGCGCGGAAGGACATTTTGACAATTTTTTCTTAAAAAACCATTGGGTTTTTGATGTTTTTATGTTAAAATCGTTACGAAACCTAAGGTTTTGGAAGGATTTCGTCTTGCGCGCGCGAATGTCCACTTTACCTTATTTTTTGCAAGGGATTCTTGCAATTTGATCAAGTAAGAACAAGAATTTTCATTTTCTATTGTTTTTTGCAAGGGAAAACGAGCGTCAACAAAAAACCGGATCCGGAGCTCATCCACTTTTCTGAAGCTTTCGCGAAAAAATGATGAAAATGTAGCTGCGGCCTAGGCGCGGCGCAGAGGTCGCGCACCAGGGGTCCCAACAATAATAATTCTTTAGAAGGAATAATGTTCAATCATTTAAGACTGGGGACACTCCGTTCTCACCAGTGCCAGGGTTTTCATAGGAGGCGGGCAATACCCCCACTTTGTGGGGGGGCCGGTTCAAGCTCTACCAAGTTTCCAAACGACTCTTCGCCACCACCCACACCCAGCTTCCCGCCCTATGACGTTCGGACACTTCACTTCGTGGCCTGCGGACGACTTTGGCTACACCAAACCTTGCACGCCTGGTGACTGACCTGGATACCCTTTGCAACGAGCGCCTGATGCAAATAATACGGGCTCTCGCAGTCGGCCAAGGGAGGCCGCGACAGCTCTGGGCCATACTGGTCGTCAAGGGCTTTCGCCGACAAAGCCATGACCCATCCAAGAACACAGGCGATACCTTGATCCGAGATGGCTACGGATGTGACAGTGATCAGTCGGAGGCTTCCTGGGGCCGCTTGGGGTCCTCTTGGGGAAGGGGGGAAGCCTCCTGGCGCCGCTTGGGGTCCTCTTGAGGGGCTTTGGGGGGCTTCTTGGAAGCATCTTGGGGCCTCTTGGGGGCTTATTGGGTCCTCACGGCGGGCTCTTGGGGCCTCTTGAAGGCCTCCTGGGGCAACCTATGGCGCAACCAGTAGGGGGACGTTTTATTCTCGGCGGCCGAGGGCGCAACCTATGGCGCAACCAATAGGGGGGCGTTTTATTCTCGGCGGCCGAGGGCGCAACCTATGGCGCAACCGCAAGGGATTATGGCCCCTGGCAGGCGCGCGAACCCCGTTGCAAGAGCGTGCGAAAGTAGCTCGCGCGAGCTCATGTAACATAAATGTTGGAAAACCATTAGTTTTTTTAGGATTCGGACAGCGCGCGCGGGTGGAAATTTTGAAAAGTCGTGCAGGTGTTTTTCGAGGACCTACGGTGCGATTCGTGTGATTTTATGATGCGCGGTGCTAAAATTCTTAAGAAGCCCAATGGTTTTTGGAGATTTCGGCGTGCGCGCGCGAAGAAAAAACGAATGTGTCCCGCATGGTATTATTTGACAGGGATGATGGCCCTGGCAGGTGCGCAACCGTTGTCGCAGAAGTTCGAAAAAGTTGCTCGCAAAAGCCCGTTTGACAGAAATGTTTAAAAAGTGTTGGGTTTCCTACGAATCCGCAAGAGCGCGCGGGATGAGATTTTGACATTTTTTTGTTGAAAAACCATTGGTTTTTTGATGTTTTTATGTTAAAATCGCTCCGAACACTAAGCTTTTGGAAGGATTTCGTCTTGCGCGCGCGAATGTCCACTTTACCTTATTTTTTGCAAGGGATTCTTGAAATTTGATTATATTAGAACAAGAAATGTCATTTTATAGTGTTTTTTGCAAGGGAAAACGGATTACAACAAAACAACCGGATCTGGATCACATCGTTTTACCTGAGGCTTCCTCACGAAAATGATGAAAATGTAGCCGCGGCCTAGGCGGCGCAGGGGGGGCGCGCACCAGGGGGCCCAACAATAATTATTCTTTAGAATAAATAATGTTCAACAACAACAACAACAACAGCGAGAGTTCAACAACAACAACAACAACAACAACAACAACAACAACAACACCAACAACAACAACAACAACAGCAGCAGCAGCAACAGCAACAACAACAACGTTCTGGGATAGTCCAGAATGAAGGCGAACCCGCCCGAAACATTGCGTTCACTGTTTGTTTTGCACGTATTGCATTTTTTGTTGTTCGGGATTCCTGCCAGCGCCGTCTCCCCCCTCCTCGCTCGGAGGAGAAGGAAGAGGGGGAGGAGGGGGAGGAGGGGAGGAAGAGGGGGAGGGGGGGGAGGGGGGGCCGAGAGGCCCAGGCCGCGGGCCGGCGGCGGCAGCAATGGACCCGAGCTGCTCGGCGGGCGGCGGCGGCGCGGCGCCAGGCGCTCGGGGCGGCGACCTCACCGCCGCCATACGGGGCTGCGGAGCGCGCAGCGCGTGGGCCGAGGCGGTGGCCCTGCTGTGCGGCGCCGCGGGGGAGGGGGCGGGTCGGGGAGTGCGGAGCACGGACTGGCCTGGGTCCTGAGATCGAGCGCGAGCATGAGATTGTCTGAGTCCGGGCGGATTTTCTCGGACCTGCGCTGTGCCCCCCTGGCAGCGCCTGCGGCGCCGCCCGTGGCGCGCCCCGCGCGCCCCGACGGGCCCCAGTGGTGCTGGAGCGCCCCGACGGGCCCCAGTGGGCCACGAGTCGGCATGCGGCAGCGGGAGGGCGCAGGCGCAGGCCGCTCCCGCGGCGGCCCTCCTGGGGCGCCGGAGGCCTCGTGCAGCCCCTCCGCGGCGCTCGCCGCGTGGTGCGGCCGGGGGGCGCTGGAGCGAGGGCCTTTGTGGGCTCAGGAGGGGGCTCTGGCCTGCGGGCCGTGGTGCGGATCTCGGTCGGGGGGGCCCGTTCGCGGCCGAGGCTCGGCGTGGCCAGAAATGCCCCCTCGTCCCCGGTCTGGCGCTCGTCGTGGCAACGCCGTGGCTACAGGTTCCGGGGCACCCAGACCTCGAGGTGTCTTTGTGCCATGGGCGCGGGTTGCCAGGGCTCGCGCCGTGCAGCAGACTCCTTTGGCTGCGGGCGGCGGATCGCTTGTTTTGGGGGGATCGGTCGCCCAATCGGTGCCCTTCCGCTGTTTCCTCTGCTGGAAGGCTGGCGAGGGGTCGGGAAGGCAGCTCTCGCCCGAGTGGTCGGCTGAGGGGCGAGATTACACTGGGCTGAAGATCAAGCGGCGATGCAGGCAGTTTCACGGGAAGACGTCGCTCCGTCCGGTTCGGCTCCCTCTCGCCCCACTCGCTCCCCCCCCCAACACAGCTTGCCAGGCGCAGGCGCAGGCAAGCGACAGCAGCCGGACAGCGGTGATCGTCGCGTGCGCGAGAGGCAAGCAGTGGCAGTTTGCACTATCTTTGTTCAGAGACTTTTTGCGGCTTCCGTCGAAAGCAACAATCTACGGCTACAGTGCGGCAATCAGCGCGTGTGAGAAGGGTGGACAGTGGCAACAGTCGGTGCTACTTCTTCAGGAGGCGAGACATGCGAAGCTGGAGGTTGGCGTGGTCACGTACAATGCTGCAGTCAGCGCTTGCGAGAAAGCCAGCCAGTGGCAACATGCTGTATCGCTGCTGAGGGATATGGAGGGATCGAGGCTGCCCGCCGACATCATCAGCTATGGTGCCCTGGTGAGTGCGTGCCTCAGGGTCGGGCTTTGGCAGAGAGCTCTGCTGCTGCTGGAGGAAGCAGTTGGCCGACGGCTGCGTGCCGAGGCCCCCGAGCGTGGCACCGTGATGAAAGCGTGCGAGCGAGGTAGGGCGACGAGATCTGTACATATCCACCGCCGTTGGCCAGGCAAATCCTAGGCCCAGGAGCGGTGTACATGCCTCCCCAGCCAAGCCAGGGGCACGTGCACACCACTCTTGGGCCCAGGGTGGGCCGAGCCAGCGGCGGTGGACAAGTATGAACCTCGTCACCCCAAGAGGGGGTGCGTGGCAGCACGCGCTGCGCATATTCGGGGAGGCCATCCAGGCGCACGTGCAGCCAGATGCCCCTGGTTATCCGGCCGCCTGCGGCGAGCCCCGCCGCCGTGCCGGCACAGCGTCGGCATGAGCTCGAGACGACTTTGCCATGGCTCCGCCCTGCTTCTGAGCACCATCGTTCCGCCTCGCCCTAATCCTGGTACTCCCCCTCTTTCTCCTCCTCCTGCTCCTCCTCCTCTTCTTCCTCATCCTCCTCCTCCTCCTCCTTCTCCTCCTCCAGCTGTCCCTTTCGGTTGAGAGTTATCAGGCAGCTGCAGCGGCAAGCACTCCCGCAGGTTCTCTGCACTGGTATGAAGGATGATAGGATGAGTGGGCCATGGGATGGGAGCGGTAGCGGTTGGAGAAGACTGCGGGCAATGACGTACAACCCAATGGCATCAGCCGCGACCGCCAGGGTTCACGATATCTCGAGCGAGCACAAGGGAGTTGATTTCATGATGCTCCAGGGCACTTACTTCAGGAGCCGAGGGGAGCCAGCGAGACAGAGGCTGGAGGATCACATCTTCATCCATGCGGGGCACGGCAGAGAAAGCAACGTAGCACGGTGGCATGACACAGCAGGAGTTTCGCGGAGGCGAGCATCGTGAGACCGGTGGAGGGCAAATCCAGCCTGCACGGTAGAGCGCCCATGCTCAGATACAAGCGGAGGCGACAGGACGTCGCCATCTTTTCCTTGTACTTTTCTCCGCGGGGCAAGGGCAAGGAAACGGTGGCGGAGCAGAAGGCTATCTCCAAGGAGCTCGCAAAGTGGATGCACGATCGAAGCAAGCAGATACTTTCACAGTGCCTGTCCTTGATTGAGGTGGATCTCATTTCAACATGCGGAGCGGATCCCATGAGGCCACCAGTGACGGGAGGTGTTACGGCGGACGCAAAGGGACTGAATTTTTGCACCCCCGAACCAATACATATAGCACACGACATGATGATCGCAAATATCGTTTGGTGCAGGTGCTACGTATTACGGAATATATTCGAAAATGGTCAGACATATGTGTTATCTGGCTTGCCCGCGAAGGCTGATGGAGATCATAGCTGGGTGCTTCGTTTTCGGGAACAGGGGCCGTCGGCTACAGCACATGCGCTGTCAAAGCCCGAAGGACAATTACCCGGTCTTCAAATCATTACGTCGTACGGTTGATAGGTATCAGAAGACAAGCCTGATGCATTACAACCAGGAGGCCTGCAACGCGGTGTTGTTGTATGTCATGGGTCGGCGCCAATTCCCTGAGGAAAGGAAGGAGGAGATGGCAGCGCACAGAGATGAATCGGAATCTTGGGCAAATAGTGGGGACGCTGACCAAACCAACGCTGGTACTAAGCAGACTATTCAGGAGGTAACCGCTGTAAGTTTGAGATATCTCCCAGGGTATGTTGAACAAACGGAACACACATTGGCACAGAGTACGAAGTTGAAATAACGGTTGACGGCAAGACGACATGCGTAATAACATGGGGCAACATTACCAAAAGAGCCGACTATGGTTCGCACAACAGGTCGAAAACTGAAACCGTTCAAGAGTGACTTGAGATCTTACACCGAGGAGGGTGGAAAGGACCTGGGATGCGCGGAGGACGCGCAGATTCTACGTTGAGCACAAGATATCGAGACTTCTGGCTGGCGCATGCCGCGGGGCAAGAGGTCGACTTCACAACGCAGTGCTGACAACCAGAGTGACGGCTGCGTGACGGATTTCAAAGTTTGAGCAAGGCACGGTGCGCGGAGGAGTTCAGGCCAAGCTTGCGGTGCAGCGCGAAGCGCCCGAGGAGACGAGTGACTTTGGGAGGGTCCCGCTGGCGCCGGTTGAAGTCGAGAATCGAAGGCATTGCGCGAGCCGTCGCACCCCGAGTGGATCCACCCAAACGCAGATCAGCAGATGCAGGATGTCAAAGCTATTCGTCGGGGCGCTTTAGATGCAGTGGAGAAGCTCAGAAAGGCATCGAAGAAACTACCGTCGCGGAGAGCTCAGCCAGACTGGGCGGCGCCAGGTGATGTGCTGCGAGCAATGGCTCGGCCGAAATTGCACTACCAACCGCAGAGAGGAGGAGTACTTGGGCTTCCAGCAGAGGCTGATGATATTCAGACACCCGAGTTCGAGAGAGCATCCCACCTCTTGCGCAGATGCATTCGAGCGGCAGGACGAGCACCAGCCGCGTGGCATCGAGCGTCTTGCTGCAGGCTGGCGAAGCACAATTACAAGTTGAGCGCAGCAGATGAGCGTCCCATCATGGGTTTCTGTGGGATGGGCACACTATAGAGCGATTCTCGGCCCACCGGCACCGGCACCGGCACCGGCACCGGCACCGGCACCGGCACCGGCACCGGCACCGGCACCGGCACCGGCACCGGCACCGGCACCGGCACCGGCACCGGCACCGGCACCGGCACCGGCACCGGCACCGGCACCGGCACCGGCACCGGCACCGGCACCGGCACCGGCACCGGCACCGGCCGGGCACCGGCACCGGCACCGGCACCGGCACCGGCACCGGCACCGGCACCGGCACCGGCACCGGCGCACCGGCGCACCGGCACCGGCACCGGCACCGGCGCCGTCGCCGTCGCCGGCGCCGTCGCCGGCGCCGGCACCGGCACACCCGCAACCGCAATGGCACCAGCACCGGCACTGGCACCCGCACAGGCACCGGCTGATGAACATCATTGAACATCATGACATTTCCCAAACAGTGTTTGCATTTCGGGGGCCTTCTTTCTTTCCTAGTAGCTGGGTCTGAGGGGCGGTCTGGCGGCTCTCTCCTCGCCGTTGCCGCCCTGTCGCTGCCCGTCGTCTGGGCTTGAGGGGCGGTCTGGTTTTTCCGTCCTTGCCGTCGCCCCCCCTTGCTGCGTCGTCGCCGCCCGTCGTCTTGGCCTGAGGGTCGGTCTGGCGGTTCCTTGCTCGCCGTCACCGTCCCGTCGCCGCCTCCTCGTCGCTGCCCTGTGCGCCCCCCCAGCGGTTCCAGTCCAATCGATTGCAAGCCAATCAAGTGCAAACCCAGTGGAATCGATTGCAGTCCAATCAATTGTAAAATTATGCAAACGGAGTTCCCCACATAAAGATAAACGGTTTCGTGGGACCCATGGGGTACGACAGCATCAACACGAAGGAGAAGCTCATCGAACGAGTAAGTACGCACGAAGAGGGCAGACGAAAGAAAGGAGGAGGGAGGACAGGTGTTCAGGAAACGAAGCCTTGTAAATAGTACGGGTTCTTGATACCCTCCTCGCTCTGGCGGGGCCCCGCTGGAAGGGGGGAGGCTTACGAAACCTGGTAAAGAGTAATGCTGTCCGCGACCCTCCTCCTTCAAGCGAGTCCTCCTCCTCCTCCTCCTCGTCCTCCTCCTCCTCGTCCTCCTCATCCTCGGCATCATCATCATCATCATCATCATCATCATCACCATCACCATCACCATCACCAGCATCGTCGTCGTCATCATCAGCATCATCGTCATCATCATCAGCATCATCATCATCATCAGCATCATCGTCAGCATCATCGGCATCATCATAACCATCATCATCATCCTCATCATCATCAGCATGATCATCATCATCGTCAGCGCCATCGTCATCATCATCGTCGTAGCCACCATCGTCATCATCATCAGCATCGTCATCATCATCACCATCACCGTCCTTGGCATCATCATCGTCCGCATCATCGTGGACGTCACGATCATCAACATCATCGTCGTCATCATCATCAACAGCACCAGCAACGTCAGCATCAGCAGCGGCATCGTCATCATCACCAGCATCTGCATCATCATCATCATCGTCGTCGTCGTCGTCGTCGCCATCGTTGTCATCATCATCGTCATCATGATCATCATCATCGTCATCATCATCAGCATCATCACCATCATCATCATAATCACCGTTATCGTCATCGTCCATCACCATTATCGCCATCGTCATCGTCATCGTGAACAGCAGTATAACCATCGTCATCACCATCATCATGATGAAGCGTTCCTCATCGCAGAACTCCCCTCTCCTCCTCACCCTCCTCAGTGGGAGGAGTAAGACGTGAGATGGATAGGTAATGTTCTCTTCCTCCTCACCCATGTCAGTGGGAGGGGCACGAAACCATGTAAATAGTGTCGGTTTCCGATACCCTCCTCGCTCAGACGGGGCCGCCCCGGAGAGGTGGTAGGGGCACGAAACAGGCGGGGCCTCCCTGGAGGGATGGGAGGGTTTCGAAACCATGTAAACAGTATGGGTTTCCGATACCCTCCTCGCTCAGGCGGGGCCTCCCTGGAGAGGCGGGAAGGGCACGAAACCATGTAAATAGTATGGGTTTCCGATACCCTCCTCGCTCAGGCGGGGTCTCCCTGGAGGGATGGGAGGGGCATGAAACAATGTAAATAATATGGGCTTCCGGTACCCTCCTCGCTTAGGCGGGGCCTCTTGGAGGGGTGGGAGGAGCACGAAACCATGTAAACAGTATGGGTTTCCGATACCCTCCTCGCTCAGGCGGGGCCTCCCTGGAGGGGTGGGAGGGGCACTGGGAGGCGGGAGGCGGGAGGGAGAAGGAGAGAATGTTCTGGGAAAACAAGACCCCCACTCAGGATGTGGGGAACAACTCGATTGCAGTCCAATCGATTGCAGTCCAATCGATAACAAATTAATGCATTGCAAGAACACGGCGACAAACATTACCAGTATCATTATCACCACCACCCCTTCCGCGCACAATATGTTTCGGATCGAGGCGGCCCGTCATGGGGCCTCCCCTGTGTCCGTGCTGCTCCAACCACGCGTGCACGGAACTTCGCAGCTTGGAGCTGCGGCAACGCTGGGCCGCGGAGGAGGGCTTCAAGTGGACGCGGCACACAGACGGCCAGGCGTACTGGAGGCCATGGCTTTGAAACGCAACGCCTTTCCAGTGCTGCGTTTGGGGCCACGAAGGACAGCCAACTGTTTCACCCAACGTTGATTCACTCACAATGTGCTGTGTCATTTGGGCTGTTATACCCGGTGGTGTTCCCGGTGGTGTTCCCGTTGTTTCGATGTGATGACGGTGCAGACTGCCAACGGCCAGACAAAAGAGGTGAGGCGCCGAACACGGTATTGGTGCGGTTCCCTAGAAGAGCCTGTACCCGGCGACGCCAGGGCGTACAAGAAACGTCACGATGCTGATTTCAGTCATCGGGATTTTTGGCTGTTGTCAAAGAGTTTCGGCGTTTCCGTTTTGTGGCTGCGGAAGTGGCGGTGCCGCCTGTTGGTTCACCGTTCCTCCTTCATGGGCGAGGCTACCATCTTCCGCGTGATGCACGGCCCAGGCGTGCTCGCGCGGGCAAGGACGAACTTGAGTTCCACTTGGGTGCGGCAGCTTCTGTGGAAGCGATGCCAGAAGGGGGCACCCGAGAAATTTGACGAGTTGGCAAAAGTTTTGCTGTGTCTCTCCGTTGAGGCCCTGGTGCAGAAGAGTTGGCGCTGGCATGGGCCGTTGATGTTCCGCCGGCGTTTGGAGCAGGTCCGTTTGTCTGGAGACCGCACAGACATTCTCGCCATCGATGGCAACGCCAAGTTGTACCGCCGAACGTGCGGCGTGCCTTTCTCTCACGTGGTCTACTGCGCCGAGCTGGACAAATACCTTTTGCGAGGGTGCCCAGACCGTCCGCATGGGAAGGGGGCGATGTGCTGCAAGCGTGCCAAGGCGTTAGTGGCTGACCCGCCGGCGCCGCACGAGACTGCGTGCAACCGCCGGTTGCGCCGAGCCCTGCATGGGCCAGATGATTGGCCCCCCCTGGAGGTGCAGCTGAAAGGCTTTGCGCGTCGCTGGCAGCCCGCGCGCGCTGTCTCTCCAGATGCGCTGGCTTAGTATTTCGGCACTGGGGCTGACGCGCGCATCCAAGCGCGCCGGGCTCGCCGCATGGCGCTTCGAAAGCAGGGCGCGGCTGGCAAGAAAGGGCGCGAAGAAAAGAGCTTCGTGGCATCCCGGAGCTCGAACGGGCCGCGCGCCGCTTCCGAGTGTTCCACGCACAAGGAGACGGACGCGCACATCGTTGCAGCCGCCCGCGCAGCGGGCTTCCTGACGGCCGTATCCGCGTCTGGCATTCTGGCGCACGTGGAAGAGCTCATGTGCGCTGAGCCCCTCAGCCAGCGGCGCCGATTCCTCGCCATAGTGGCGGCCCACATGCCCGACCCCAAGATTGTCGTCCACGACGACGCGTGCCACCTGCGCCTCATGGCGGAGAAGAGCGGGGAGGGCACCGCCGTGGCTGCGCGGTTGGCAACCGAGACGGCTTACATTGTCGACGATTACCATTCCAGCGGGCACGTGGGCAAGTGGTGCAGCGAACATTGCCTGCCGGGGCTGGAGGCCAACAGCCTTGTTGAGCAAGTTCCCCGCAAACATCTGCGAAATCATGAACAGCGAGTTGTCCCCGCTGGGCCACGTGGTCCACCACGTGGGCCGGTGGGCCTCCCAGTTCTACGCGCAAGAGATGGTGGACGCGTTGAACATGAAGACGCTGGGGCGCATGAGGGGCGCCCAGGCCACTGCCGCCAGGAAGGTTGCTCGGGCGAGCGAGGCCGCCTCGGCCTCGGCCGAGAAGAAGCCGAGACAGCTCTGATGCACGGGGCCTCTCGCGGCCTCTCCTTCCTGCCAACGTTCGGATCATGGGTCGGGCGAGGGGCGCGGGGTGCGACGGGGGAAGGGGTGGGGCGAGGGGCGAAAATGCACTCGAAAGCTCCTGGGGCTTCCTCAGAGCTTCGCGGCCCTGTCTTGGAGATTTCTGGAGGCCGTGGGAGTTTCGCTGCGCGCGTCGTGCTTTCCGTCGCCCTGCAATAGCCAGGGCCTCGGGCGCGGTTTTGGAGCGTGCAGCGGGGTTATCCGCCCCCCCGCAGGTTTTGGGAATTTTGCCGATCGTGAAAAAAAGCGTGGCAGACGGCCCATGACGGCCCATCGATCTGACGTGGCGGGCGCGAGGAGGTCGGGCCGCTGCTTTTGCACCCGCGCGAAGATGCCGATTCGAAGGCGAGACAAAGGCCCCAGCTTCGCTGCCCCGCTGCGAGGTTCCATCTGCCAGCCTCGCACGCAGCGCCCTGGCTCAAAGGTCCCCCTTCGTGGGATTGCCCCAGCGAGTCCTGCAGGTCATACTCGCGACGCGACCGCGCCGTCACGCACTGCGCGGCCATGGCAGGGAAGAACACGGAGAGTCTGTCCCAGAAGCAGGTGAAGAAACTCTTTGCGAGGGCGATGGCTCGCGTCGCCAGTGAGTTCAGCCCGGCGGAGCACCTCCCCCCTAAGGTGCGCGAGTTCTTGGAGCCCATCGTTAACACAACGTGCCAAGGGTATTGCACGAGCGCCTTGATGGTTGGAGGCTACATGGCGGCTCTTTCAAATGGCGCCGCCGTCAAGATATGGAGCCAGAAGCCCACTCCATGAATTGCACCAGTGTTCCAGATAGGGAACGCACAGGCGGGGAAGAGCCAGCTTTTCAGTGTGTGCGAGGAGATCTTCGACACGTGCGACGACGTCATTGGCGATCACGTCGACTCGCTCCTCGACGACGGCCCCCCCGTGACCGTGAAGAGTATCTGTCTCCAGAGCTTCACTTTCACGGAATTCTTTTACCGGTGCTCCAGCGGCTTTCCCCTCGTTGATTTTTCGGAGGGCGACGGGCGGGTTGCCGAGTTCAGGCAATCAGATGTGTGGGGCGGCAGGGCGTTCAATCTAGACGAGGCGTACGAGTTCTGGGACGGCCTCGGCCTTCTCGCTACCGGCCGCGGAGGAGGAGGTGGAGGAGGAGGAGAGAAGGATCGGGCGCCGACGGTCCACGCGTCCACCTTGAACACTTTGATCGCGAGTGGCAAGACGAGACGGGCAACTCGCACAAGCGCGACCTTTGGCGAGTCTCGCGGCAAGCGCGTCTCGGTGTCTCTGCTCGGCAACGGACATCCTGGGAAATTCATAGCCATGGACAGGGGGATCGTGGGTAACCACACGGCGTGCACTAAGGAGCGCTTCGTCGCCTGCATTGACCAGGCCGCTGCGCGCCACGCTGCGCTGCCCGCGGGGAGTCGCCTCCCGCGCGGCGTCTCCGCGTGGGCGTGGCTGCCGCTCGCCCCCCAGCAGGCGCAGACGTTCAACTGGGAGACATACCTTGACGCCCCTGAGGCCGCGGCCCAGTATTTGGAGAGGGACGCCGAGACGGGCGAGGCGTCGGCAGCAAATTCCCAGGCTCGCAGTTTCGTGGGCCCGGCTGGCGGATACAAGGTGGAGTTCCCAGATGGCGAGGAGTCCCGGTTGCGATACCTGCGGGTTACCCCGTCCGACGTAGGCGACGCGCAGTTGCGGGCCGAGTTCCGAATTTCTAACAGGGGGGACCTGCCGGACCCCACGGGCCATATCCAAGCGGGGGCCAGGAGGGTTGCAGAGCTTTTCGCCAAGAAGCCGCAGGCGATCTTGCCGTTCGAGGAGGAGGCGCGCAATATCATGACGGGCAACCAAGTGGCACAGAGCATCCGCGCGCAGTTGCGAGGAGACCAGAGAGCCAAAAACGTTCAACCCCAGCTGCGAGTGCAACCTGGGGTGCGGGTTTCTCCTTGCCACGAGACCATCACCCTGGGTTGCGCTCATTTCGGTTTTCGACAGCCGTCATGCGTGGTTGCACATCTTTCGTTAGTTGTTTTTCGACGTAGGAAGGAGCCTTCACCCTTGGTTGCACGTGTAATTTTTCAGGTGGTTCACCTGGGGTTGCACATCTAGGTTTCCCCAGGAACCTTCACCCCAGGTTGCGCACGCATCTGGGGTTGCACGTTTTTCGCCACCCGAGGAGACGACGATCCTACTTTGGCTGCGCTGGAGGCCAACGCCGCGGGCCAGCAGGGCGTTCAGGCTGCTCTCGTTGCCGTGCTGGATTACTCTGGAGGCGGGGGCACCTTGGACGCGGCCTCGGGGTTGCCGCTCATCACCACCCAGCACGTCCAGTGCGCCAGGCGCATGCTCGACATCAGCATTGCCATCCGGACCATATGGCGAGCTGCTCTGGACGAAGACGGTGCACCTGGCTTCTTTGCAAAGGCAGAGCCGACGCCCCATCCGCATCAACATATATACCGGAGAAAAGCCCAATCCTATTGTTTGGGGTCTATGGGGCTATGAGGGTATGGGGCTAGATGGGCTATATGGTCTATTGGGCTGCTGGGCTAGAGGTCTATAGGGCTCTTGGGCTAGAGTGCTATAGGGCTGTGGGGCCATAGGGCTATTGTGCTATAGGGCTATTGGGCTATAGGGCTATTATGCTATAGGGCTATACATACAAGGTTATATGCGCTATTTGGGCCATTGGGCTAAAGGGCACTATAGGGCTACAGGACTATAATGCTATAGTGCTAAAGGGCTATAGGGCTATAGGGTTAAAGGGCTATAGGGCAAGAGGGCAAGAGGGCAAGAGGGCTATAGGTCTATAGGGCACTATAGGAATATAAGGCGATCGAACTATATGGCGATTGTGCTATGGGGCTATAAGGTTCCTGGGCACCCAGGCACCCTGGCCTGGCCACCGAAATCGGCGACGACGCACCCGTGCATCGGGACGCCCGGGCACCCGGCCCCCTGCCACCGTAATCGGCGCCCCACCTCACCGAACCATATGAATCCGCTAGGACCCCTACAGAGGCAAGCTCTGATTGGGGAATGCGGAATGGTCGTGCGCGGGCCCCGGCTTGGGTCAGTGTGTTGGGGTGAGGGTGTGGGTGAAAGGAGCGGGTTTCGGGTGTTTGGGTTAGGGTGTCAGGATTAGTGCGTTACGGTGTCTGAGTTAGGTTCATGGGGCTTTGGATTCAGGGTTAGGGTGTTAGTGAGAGGGTGTGAGGGTGTAAAGGTTAGGGTGTTTGGGTTTCGGGCTTATGGTTCGGTCTAGGGTGTTCGTGGTTGGGCTAAGGTGTTATGGCCAGGGTGCTAGGTTTGGGACTGGGATGTTCGGGCTCGGGTGTTGTGTTCAGGTGAGGGTGTGAGGGTTAGGGTGGTCGACTTAGGGGGTGTGGATGTTCGGTTAGAGTCAGGGTGTGAGGAAACGTGTGGTAGGGTTCGGGCGTTGGGGCCAGGGTGCTATGGCGAGAGCAAGGGTGTTCGGGTTACGGTGTAAGGGGTAAGGAGTTAGGGTTCGAGTGTCAGGGTTCGGGTGAGGGCGTCACGGTTGGTGTATTAAGGCTTGGGCCAGGGTGCGTTAGAACTTGAATGGTATGACTGGGGCCATGGATACGGTGCTCGGGCTTTTTTCGGGTTCGCATTAGGGTGCGGTTAGGGTGTTCGCGTCAGGGTGTTAGGGTGACGGTGTTTTGATTGTGGTGCTGGGGTGAAGGTGGTGGGGTTATGGTGAAAAGCTAAGGATGTTAGTTTTGGAGCGTTACGGTTAGGGCTAGCGCGCTCGGGTTTAGGCGGGGTCAGGGTTCAGTTTCGGGGGTGGGGGGGTCTTAGGGTTAAGGTGTTAGGGTTAGTGTGTTGGGGTTATGGTATGGTGCTAGCGTCAGCGCGTTAGGGGCACGGTTAGTGATAGGGTTACTGTGCCAGGGTTAGGGTTTGAGGGGTTCGGTGTTATGGGGCCAGGGTTCGTGCGTCAGGATGAGGGTGTTAGGGTTCGGGTCAGGGTGTCAGGGTTACGGGGGTTAGGGTGGGGGTCTTAGGATTCGGGTGTTGGAGGAGGAGGTGTTAGGCCAGGTCGACCCCCTCCCTCCTTGAATTGCGCGCCCGCAGGCGACGCTGCCGACGGCGAGAGCGACGGCGACAACGAGCCAGGGCGTTTGGCGCGCCCTGTTCGGGGTCACTATCACCCTCATGCGTACGCCGCGCCGCTCTCCACGCAGGTGCCAGCTTGCCCGGCGGCGCCCCAGGGCCCGGTTCCCGCTGGCGGCCTGGTGGCTGACGTTGCGCGCCCTGCCGCGCGGGCTGGCGGCGGCAATGTCGACGTCTCGCAGCCCGCCAGTCCGGGCGCCGCGGAGAGCGATCTGGCCGGTGCCCCCCCGACAGGAGGCGAGGCGCCGGGCTCGGGCGAGCGCGCGCTGACGTTCGCGGACTTGGCGGGCGAGGCGCAATTCGACAATCAGGGCCTTGGCGAAGGGGGGGCCATGGTTTTCACGAAGGCAGCTTTCAAGGACAGAGAGCTCATCCGTCGTGTGCTCCTGACCGGGAAAAGCCAGATTTCCGTGGACGCCTGCGTCGACCTCTACAGCGTGGCCGTGTTGGACCAAGAGGCCCCCGCAAAGCGGAAGAGGCGAGCGCGCCCGTCCAAGCCCGAAGCGGTGGCGGTGCTTAAGGCGGCCTTCGAGCAGTTCCCGCGCCTGGGGGAGTGCCAGGAGCAGAACGGCGAGGTGTTTCTCAAGGGCTGGCCCGACTCAGAACTTGGGAGGGCGCTCTTCCACAACGAGCTCATGCGCTGCTGCCGCGTGTCACTGAGGCAGCTGTCACAGAAGCGCGCCCAGTTCCACGAGGGGCGCCCGCAGCTCGCTGACGCGACGCCGAGCCGCGCGGCCGGCCCCCCCGCGCAGCCCCCGCCTTCGCGCGGCGCCCGGGCGAGTGACGCCGGCGCTGCCCCTGACGCCCAGTGCTTCTGGCGCCGCGGAGCCGGTCGCGATGGGCGCTTCGCAGGGCTTGCGCCCGCCAGTTCCGAGCACGCCGCCTGGCGGCTTGCATTAGGCGGGGGGGTTGGGGACAGGCGGAGGGGCCAAGCAGAGGGGGGGTGGAGCGTCGAGCCTCATCAGGCTTAGTAGGATGAGTCGGAAAACCTCTATAAGATCAGTTTTGCTTTGCCCGCATGCGCCCGCTCATACGCATTTTAAGCAGGAGCACTAGAGCTCGAGTTCGAGCGCGCTAGATCAGGCGGAGTTGGAGACTCCAGGGCTGGATCTGTCCAGCCTGCCCACACCTGAGTAGCATTTAGCTTCAGATCTGCAGAATTACGTGCATGCTGCGCACGTTTTGCAACGCGTGCTTTGGCATATGTCGCGCATAAATCATGTTTGAACTAGTCCACCCAGGCACTTCTATGATTAAATAATGCCCTTCCCCTGGGGAGCGCCCCCCGCCGCCCGTCGATGATGCCTCCCGCGCTGTAGGGCCCCGCCCACTTTCTAGGGCCCCGCCCGCCAGTCAATGATGCCCCCCCCACTTTAGGGCCCCGCCCGATCCGCCCGTTAAAGTCAGCCCGCCCGATTCGCCCGACCGTCCTTTAGGGTCCGCCCGCCTGTCCCGACTCGCCCGCTCATAGGCGCGTAGATTTCGAGGAGGAAAACGACGACGAGGAAGACGATGACGATGAGTTGGAGGAGGAGGAGGAGGAGGAGGAGGAGGAGGAGGTGGAGGGGGAGGAGGAGGAGGAGGAGGAGGAGGAGGAGGAGGAGGAGGAGGAGGAGGAAGGGGAGGAGGAGGAGGTGCTTGCGGCAAGTCCCGCCACCGTGTCACCCTAGCACTCTTGATTGCGAGTGTGCGAGGGGACACGGGAGGCCGTCACGCGTGACACCTCGGGCCTTGGGGACTCCGTGGCGTCTTGGCAGCGTCCCGCGGGGGGGAACTTCGGAAGCTCCTTGGGGCCCCCTGGCGCGGCCGTCTGGCGTTTTCGGAGTCCGTCTTGGTGGGTTTTCTGGGTCGTCTTGAGGCTCTCTGGAAGCCTTCAGGGCCGTCTGAGAACCTCCTTGGGCCGAGTTGGTGTCCTTTTGGGTCCCTCCCTGGCCATCTTGGAGCCCCCTTGGGTTGTCTTGGATCCTTCTCTGTGTGGGCCGTCTTGGGGCCAGTGCCGGTGCCGGTGCCAGCGGTGCTGGTGTCGACACCCAGCACCGCGCACTGGCACCGGCACCGGCACCGGCCCCAGCCACGGGCCACTGGCCACCGGCACCGGCCACAAGCACCGGCCACCGGCACCGGCACCGGCACTGGCACTGGCCACCGGCCACCGGCCACTCGCCACCGGCACCAATACTGGCACCAGCACCGGCTACTGGCCACTGGCACCAGCCACCGGCACCTGCACCATGCTGCAGCCACCGGCACCGGCACCGGCACCGGCACCGACACCGGCACCGGCACCGGCACCGGCACCGGCACCGGCACCGGCACCGGCACCGGCACCGGCACCGGCACCAGCACCGGCACCGGCACCGGCACCGGCACCGGCACCGGCACCGGCACCGGCACCGGCACCGGCACCGGCACCGGCACCGGCACCGGAACCGGCACCGGCACCGGCACCGGCACCGGCACCGGCACGACCACCGGGTACACAGGCAACCCCCCGGCAAACGGCACCGGACACAAAAACCCAAAAACCGGCACCGGGCGACGGCGCCGGCACCGGCACGGCACCGGCAGCCCGGAATCGGGCACCGGCACCGGCATCGGCACCGGTACCGGCACCGGCACCGGGGCAAGAATCGTTCATGCCTTGATGGGCAGGTCTCATTACAGGTCGCTCATGGATGGAGCCAGGAGTTCGCGTATAGGGCACATGGAAGAGTGTCATATTGACGCCGCGGGGACTCCATGATGGCTCAGCAGAATGGATCAGCGCGGTTAAGACGAGCAGGAGTGGCGCACACCGCCCAATACCGCGACGCCAGCAATGCATTCTAGCGCGTGCGCAAGGAGGTAGTGGAAGAAGTTGCTGTTGACCTGGAGAAGGATGGGAATTGTGATCACTTTCTGCAGAATCTACAACAGTGCGTTCGTCGTCTCAGACGGACATGAAGGCGCCCGCGTGGCCAGCGAGTCAGGAGCATTCGTTGCCACGAAGCTCTTCGTGGAGGCCTACGGCCACGGCGTCGACGCCGCGAATGAGATTCCCAACAGGGGCCCGCGGCAGCGGGCATTGCGCGCGACCTTGCCAGGCGCCGTTCAGGACCCGCGCGGCCGCGCGGCGTCAACAAGAAGCACGAGTCAGCGCTGGAGAAGCACGCCAGCTCGCCGAGCAGAAGACGGTGGTCCTGGAGCTTCGCAGTGGGCTCAACACGGCAGAGGCCGATCACAACAGTCTGGTGCAGTGCCTGCTCGAGTCTCAGGAGTTGCCAAAGGACAAGCGGCCCTCTTCGGCATCAGTGCATGCAATTTGTTCAAGCGTGGCGGCCATGGCCCCGACGATGAGGACAGCGCGGAGATCGAGTCGCGCGCGCAGCAGCTCAAGCAGCGCCTCTCGCCCATGGCAGGCGCGTTGTTTGCGGGCGCGAAGCAGAAGATGGACGAGCTCAGGCAGACGCACGCGGCGCACCTCAAGAGGTCGGCAGCCAAGCGGAGGCGCACCAGCGAGGACGAGGAGGCAGAGCTGCAGGGCGGTGGAGGCGTTCCGCCAGCCGCCCCGCGCCCTGGGGCTGGAGCTACTGCGGCTGAGCGCCCAGCCCCTGCGTCTCCAGGGGGCGCGGGGCCTCCTGCGCCAGCTCCTCCAGGCCCGGCCGCGGAGGCCGGGGTCGACAGGCAGGGCGCCCCGCCGCAGCCTGGCGCCGCCGCAGCGGCGACGACGGGCGCCGAGGCCAGTGGCGGGGGCCCCACCTTGGCCCCGACAGCTGGCCCCGCCCGTGAGCGCGCTGATCGCATCGCAGGCGTGGCCCTTCAGTCCGATTTGCCCCCCTCTGGACGCGCGCCATAAAGACTTGCTCGTCGGTCGACTCGTCGGTCGCTTGGGGCCCGTTGGTCCGTCGCTCGCTTTGCGACCTCCATGGGGAACTAAATGGTTTTGATGCGTGCAAGAAGGCCCTCTCCGCTGAGGGGCGGACGTCAGGCGCGGTGGGGGGTTCGGGGCGCTTCCGTGTTCGAAAGTGTTGGGTGTGTGGTCCCAGAAGCAGAGGTCTCAGGGGATTGTGTGTGTGTGTGTGTGTGTGTGTGTGTGTGTGTGTGTGTGTGTGTGTGTGTGTGTGTGTGTGTGTGTGTGTGTGTGTGTGTGTGTGTGTGTGTGTGTGTGTGTGTGTGTGTGTGTGTGTGTGTGGATGTCAGACGTGGTTGTAAGCTCGGGCGCGTTGTGGGCGCCAAATTGTTGGGCGGGGGGCCCCAAGGAGAGGTCCTGGGGGGTGCTCTGGAGGGGGCGAGGGGCGGATGTCAGACATGGTGTGGAGGGGGGGGAGGGGATGGGGATCGGTTCTGGGCGCGAAATTGTCGGGCGGGTGGCCCAGGAGCAGAGGTCCCATGGGTGCTGTGGGAGGGTGGGGGAAGGTGGTGATGTCAGGCGTGGTGGGGGGGTGGGGTCTGTTCTGGGCGCGAAATTGTCGGGTGGGTGCCTGAAGAGGGGCGTGCTCCGGGGGGGGGGGGGGGGGGGGCGAGGTGCGGGTGGCAGACGCGGCGAGGGCGTCGGCCGAGAGCAGAGGTCCGGGGGGGCGCTGTGGGGGGGTGGGGGGAGGTGCGGATGTCAGGCGTGGTGGTGTGTGTGGGGGGGGGGTCGGGGGTGTTCTGGGCGCCCAAACCATCGAGTGGCAGGCCCCAAAGAAAGGTTCGGGCAGCGCTCGGGGGGGGGGGGGGGGGGGGCGCAGGGCGGACGTCAGACGCGGGTGGTGGTGGGGGCGGGGTCGGGTCGGTTCCGGGCGTGAATTTGTCGGGTGGTGGGTGCCCGAGAGGAGAGGCTCAGGGGGTGCTGCGGGGGGCGGGGGGGGGGGGGGGGGCGGATGTCAGACGTGGCGGGGGCGGGGGGGGGGGGGGTTGTTCTGAGCGCGAAATTGTCGGGCGGGGGGCCTCGAGAAGAGGCCCCTGCGGTTGCTCTGGGGGATGAGGGGTGACAGACGTGGTGGGGGGTCGGGTCGCTGCGGGTGCCAAATTGTCGGGCGGTTTGCCCCCGGGAGCAGAGGTCCAGGGGGTGCTGTGTGCGGGGGGGGATGGGGGATGGGGGGGGCGGGGGGGGGCGGATGTCGGGCGCGATGGGGCGGTCGGGTTTGTTCTGAGCGCGATATCGTCGGGCGGGGGGGGCCGAGAAGAGAGGGCTCGGGGGGGGGTCTTCGGAATGGGGTGAGAAGCGGGTGTCAGACGTGGTGCGTGTGGGGGGGGGGTCGGGCCGGGTCCGGGCGCGACGTCGTCGGTTGGGTGGCCCCGAAAGCAGAGGTCCCAGCGGGGTGCAGCGTGGGGGCGAGGGGGGGGGGACGGGTCGGAGACGTGGCGAGGGGGTCGGGGCTGTATTGGGCGCGAAATTAACGGATGGGACAGGGGCCCTGGGGGGTGCTCTGGAGGGGATGAGGGGCGGCAGTCAAACGTGGTGCGTGGTGGTGGTGGTGGGGGGGGTCGGGTTGGTTTTGGGCGCGAAATCTTCGCGCGGGCGGCCCCGGTCGCAGAGGTCTGAGGGGGTGCTGCAGGGTGGGGCAGAGGAAGATGCAGATGTCAGACGTGGTTGGGGGGTCGGGTTTGTTCTGGGCGCGAAATTGTTAGGCGGGGGGGCCCAGCGAACGAGGTCCCGATGGGGTTCTCGGAGTGGACGGGGGGCAGATGTCAGACACGACGTGGAGTCGGGTCGGTTCTGGGCGCCAAATTGTCGGGCCGGTGGCCCCGGGAACAGACGTCTCAGGGGGTGTTGTGGGGGAAGGTGGAAGGCGCGGATGTCAGAGGTGGCGGGGGGGTCGGGTATCCTTTGGGCGCGAAATTGTTGGGTGGGGGGGCCCAAGAAAGGTCGCGGTGGGGAGCCCCTGGCGGTGCGAGGGGTGGATGTCAGACGCGGTGGGGTGTTCGAGGCTTTTCTGCGCGCGAAATTGTCGGCGGTGTGGTCCTGGGGCCAGAGTGGGGATTGTGTGGGTGGGGAGGTATGGATGTCAGACGGGTGCGTTGCGGGCGCCAGATTGTCCGGCGGGGGGGTCCAAGAAAAGAGGTCCCTGGGGGGTGCTCTGGAGGGGACGAGGGGCGGATGTCAGACGTGGTGGTGGTGGTGGTGGTGGTGCGGGGGGGGGGGGGGCGGGTCGGCTCTGGGCGCGAAATTGTCGGTGTGTGGGCCCAAAAGCAGAGGCCTCAGGGGGTGCCGTGGGGGGGCGGGGGAAGGTGCGGATGTCAGACGCGGTGGGGAGGTCGGGTCTGGTCTGGGCGCGTAGTTGTCGGGAGGGGGGGTCAAGGATCGAGGTCCAAAGGGCGGGGGCGCAGGGTCTCAATGCGGAGCGTGGCGGGAGTCAGGGTGGGATCGACCCCGGGACAGGGTCGGACGCGGGGAGGAGGGGCTCAGGATAAGCGGTTCTAAGGCGCGTTTTTCTTCGCGCGCCTCTGCGGTCGGCGGCTATATGCATGTATGTATGCATGCATGTGTATGTATGTATGTCTGTATGTATGTATAGAAGGATGGATGGATGGATGGATGGATGAATGTATGTATATCTATATCTATACACACATATGTATGCATCTTTACATATATACACATATACATATATGTGTACATATATACGAAAGGCTGCATTGGCGCTTCGCGCCATGCACCTTGTTCCTTGCTCCTTGTGAGTTCGAACGCAAGCGGCGCGCGCGCGTGGACGTGGGGCCGGCCACTGCCAAGTCGGAGTGGGTCAGGATCTCCTAAGCGGGAGTGCTTTGACAACGCCAGCTCTGGCCAGCTCAGGGCGTTTCTGTTCCCAGAGGCGCGAGTGAGTCTCAGGCGACTGGTTGGGGTAGCATGAAGCGGGGCATCCTCCTCCTCTCGCTCTTCCTCCGCATTTTCCTCCCCCCTCTTTCTTCTCTTCATCTTCACCCTCTTTCTGCTCTTCCCTCTTTTTCCTCATTCCGCTTCCTTCTTCTTTCCCTTTTCTTTTCCTTTGCTTCTGGAGGCGTCGAGACAGCTCCAAGACGTCTGCAACTGAGCCCCCTGACGAGCCCCAAAGAGGTCCAAGGCTGGCGCAACATGGCCCAGAGAGTGGGAAAAACAGGGAAAACGCAGTAGAAAAGCAATATTGTCGGCCTTCTCGCTCTTTCATTTCCGGTTGATTCGGGGGGCGTCCAGACGACCCCAGGACGGCCACAGGGAGGCGCAAGACAGGCCCGAGGAGTCGAAAGTAAGTCTTTTGGGGGAGGGGGGGGGGGGGGCCCTCCCCGGCCCTGTAGGGCCCGGACAGGGGGGCCCAGAGATGGACACATGCAGAAAAATCATTGGACAAGCAAGGTTTTTGGTCTTCTCGCCTTGTCGCTTCTGATTGGTTCTTGAGGCGTCAAGATACTTCCAAAACGGCTCCAGAGGCCCCAGACGAGCCCCAAAGAGGCCCGAGGTTGACGCAACATGGCCCGGAGAGCGGGAAAAACAAAGAAACGCAGTAAAAAACAGTGTCTTCGGCTTTTCCGCTTGCGCATTATCGCTTGATTCGGGTGGCGTCGAGACGATCCCGGGAAGGCCACAGCAAGGCGCCAGACAGGCCCGAGGAGGGGAAATTCGTCAGGGGGGGGGGGGGCGCTGGGGTGTGGGCCCCCAGGCCCTGTAATATATATATATATATACATATACATACATTTATATATATATATATATATATGTCTGTCTGTCTGTCTGTCTGTCTGTCTGTCTGTCTGTCTGTCTGTCTGTCTGTCTGTCTGTCTGTATGTATGTATGTATGTATGTATGTATGTATGTATGTATGTATGTATGTAATATATATATATATAGAGAGAGAGAGAGAAACAACAAATAATATTGTGAAAGAGAGAGAGAGAGAGAGAGAGAGAGAGAGAAAAAAAAAAAAGGAAAACCCAACATGCACAACAAGAGAGAGAGAGAAAACAAAAAAAAAAAACAAAGAAAGACAGAGAGAGAGAGAGGGACAGCGACAAATATGTAATTGTGCCAGCCAGGGGGCGCAGAGCGGAGCACGGTGAGGGGCAGCATGCAGACATCCGTTGGGCGCTGCGGGATGGTGTGTGCGTCGGGGATGAGCACGGTGGACGTGGACGTTTTTCGACGGCGTGCGGCATCACGGGCTCGGGGTCGAGCCTGGAATACGCAGGGCGGCTCTGACCGACAGCCCCCCCCCAGGCGCTCTGACACGCCCCAGCGCGTGAGTGGGAACGGCGGCGGGCGTCGTTGCGCTCAGCGCCTGCGGGAGCGGCAGTCACTGGCAGCAGGCCGTGGCGCTGCTGAGCGAGCTGAGGCGGGGGAGGCTCCAGTCGGACATCCGCGTCGTCAATGCGGCGATCAGTGCGTGCGCGAAGTCCGGGCGCTGGCAGTCAGCCTGGGCATTGTTCCACGAGCTTCGAAGAACAAAAAACAGCATGACCATAATTTGTTTCTGAGCTCCGCGTGGAATTTCTTGGATTGGCGCTGAACTCCGTGGCGGCGCCAGCGCGCAATGGAGGGGGGTTCAACGCCGGTCCAAGAAATCCGCGCGGAGCTCCGAGAAATGATGTGTACGCCGGTTTCTGATCTTCTAGAGCTGGGGCAATGCAGACTGCGCGCCAGCGTCGCTACCCACGGCAGCGCAATCAGCGCGTGCCAGCAGGAGGGCCAGTGGGAGCGGGCCGTCCTGCTGCTCGCAGATCTGAGGCAGAGCGGTCTGGAAGCAGATGCTGTATGCTACAGCGCGGCGATCAGCGCGTGCGAGGAAGTTGGACAGTGGCTGCAAGCTCTGCTGCTGTTGCGGGAGATGATCTCAGCACGGGTACGTGCCGATATTGTTAGCTACAGCGCCACTATGAGCGCCTGTGGGAAAGGGGTGCAGTGGCGGCAGGTGTTCGTCTTGCTCGATGAGCTCAGAGAGTCGAAATTACGTGCTGACGTCTTCAGCTACAGTGCTGCGGTGACTGCGCTTGAGAAGGAAGGGCTTTGGCAGCATGCGTTGAGTTTGATCGGTGAGTCGAAGCGACTGAAATTGGAAGCCGATGCGTTGTGCTATTGTGGCGGGGTCATTGCATGCCAGCGGGGTCGACAATGGCAGCCTGCGCTTTCACTGCTAGCAGAGTTTCAGCGAGTCAAGCTTGAGCAGAACGAGGTGAGCTACGGCAGCGTGATCAGCGCGTGCGAGCAATGCCAGGAATAGCAGCGTGTGCTCCTCTCCCAGGAGCGTCTGGCAGGTGGATTCGTCGGAGGCGGTCATCGGAGAAGGAGCCTGGAGACATCCCCTGGACCTCCCCCCCAGAGGTGAAGGACAGGCGCATCAGCGAGTACGACGTCATACCAGGTCAGCGGCGAAGGAAGGGGAGTCGACTACGTGGACTCTCGCGCGCAAGCTGCCCACGCAAGGGCGCGTGAGCGCCCTCTTTTCCACGAGGTGTGCTGCCGCAAGCGGCCTGTGTAAACCATCGCGCGAGGTCGCCACGCCTTTGTGCGAGAGACCCTCCCCCCCGTCTCCAGAGGCCTCCTGGAGATGTTCGGAGGTCCCCAGAGGTCTCTGGAGGCTTCCGCGGAGGCTTCAGGAGGCCCCGAGAAGCCCAGAGAGGATAAAGGTTGTCCAGGAATCGGACAAACAAACAAACAAAAAACCGGCGCGACTGCAATTTGAAATCTTTTTTGACAAATGTGAGCCAGCAAAGCAATGCAATGAAAAGCATTGGAGTGGCATTGGCTTGGCACTGCTTGGCGTTCATTGGCATTCGCTTGGAATTGCTCGGAGTTGCTTGGCGTTGCTTGGCATTACTTGGCGTTACATGGCAATGCTCAGCGTTGCTTGGCATTGCCTAGCATGGCTTGGCACTGCTTGGCGCTTGTTGGCACTGCTTGGCGTTGCTGTGGTACGTATTGGCGTTGGTTGGCGTTGCTTGGCACTGCCTGGCATTGCTTTGCATTGCTCCAGATTGCTCGGCGTTGCTCGGCATTGTTTCGCATTGCTACGAGCCGCGCCGAGGAACCCCGAGGAACCCTGGGCAACGCCAGGGCCGAGGACTCACAAGGCAACGCCAAGGCGCGCCTCTGACGAAGGGCCCCGTACCAACAAGTTCCTTTAACGAACCTGGCGCGACCCCAATTGAGGAAAAGCCTATTGCATGGACGCATCACTGGGCGCATCGCTTGGCAGTGCTTGGCATCGCTTGGCATGGGCTGGCATTGCTTGGCATGGGTTGGCATTGCCTGGCATGGGTTGGCATGGCTTGGCTTTGCTCGGCATTGCTTGGCATTTCTGTGCATTGCTTGGCATTGCTTGGCATGGCTTGGCATTACTTGGCTTTGCTTGGCATTGCTTGGCATTGCTGGGCATTGCTTGAGGCAACCGGGGGCGGTGAACCCGAGGAACCTGGGGAACCCGAGGAACCTCCGAGGAACGGGCAACGTAACACCAGGCAACAGGAGGCACCAGGAGCGGGGAACCCGATGAACCCGAGGAACCTCCGGGCCACAGGCAACGTAAGATTACGAGGCACCAACATTTAACCAAGTAAGAACCGCTTCAAGCTTCGGCAAGCGTAATTGCGGAATCTGCAAAAAGAATCCTTCGGGCAAACCCTAATCAGCGAACGACAGGAAATAGTTGCGACAGGCGACATTGCGAGCCCACTTGCCAAGACCAAGGTACCTGGCCAACGCCGGGCGCCGCCAATGCAAGGAACCAAGACCATGGAGCCTGGGCGGCGCCGCGCGCCGCATCGGATTTGGGGCGCCGCAGCCAACTCGGTCGGCCGTTTCTTCCACAAGCAAGCACGAGCCCTTGAGGCCACGCCCAATTTGGGGAAACATTTTCTTGAAGGAAGAGAACGGGGTAGTCTGCGCTGACATTGGCGCGTGGGCTGCCCTTGTAAGGTCGCGCGTTAGCGCGCTCGCTTCCAACGTGGCGCGCCGCGCTGGCGGCCCGCGCCAGTCACCGCGTAAGGTCGCTCTCGCGTAAGACCCCTTCCTTTTCGTCGCTCAGGTGGCCACTCCAGCGGCGTCGGCGCCCTTCGAGCGCCGGCCGCCGAGCCGAGGGCGCCCCAGAGGGGCGCTTCTGACCGGCGCGGCCGCGCGCGAGGAGAGGCCGCGGCCCCGCGCCGCTGCTGGGGTGAGCCGCGCGCGGCGCGGCCCTGCTGCGAGCGGGGCCCGCCGCGCCCCGCCCCGCGGCGGCGGGCCCTGGCCGGCGTGCCCCTCGCGCGACTGTTAGCCACAGGTCGACTAAGCACCGGCCAGACCCGGACCCCCCCCCCCTTCGGCCAAATGCCGAAACGCACAGTGAAAGAACGCGAGTTCTCGATCGTTTTCGGGGCCCGGGGTGGTTTCCATCAGCTGCGCCTCGTCGAGAGCGTTCGGGGGACGCCCAGATCGTCCCAAACGGCCGCTGGAGATCCGAGCTGTGACCCGAAAACCAGACGACGAGGACCGCCGAGCAGGGCGCTCCAGTTTGGAGCGCCCTGCTCGGCGATCCTCGCGGAACAACGCAGCCCCTTCTGAGAAAAGGCTATGTTTTTCGTCGGATGCCTTGCGTTGCCTCCAGATTCCTTGCGTCGTTGTCGGCTTCTGGGGGCCCTCGTCGGGGATGTCTTGCGTCGTTGTCGGCTTCTAATTAGGGGCCGCCGGGGCACCCAGGACCATCAAATGAACCCAGCGCGACCTTGCGCGACCCCAATTAGAGGAAAGTTTCTTATTGCATGGGCGCAGTGCTTGGCATTGCTTGGCATTGCTTGGCATTGCTCGGCATTGCTCGGCATTGCTTCGCATTGCTTCGCAATGCTTGGCATTGCTTGGCATTGCTCGGCCTTGTTTGGCATTGCTAAACGTACGGGGCACCGGGGGCAGGGAACCCGAGGGACCTGGGGAACCCGAGGAACCTCCGAGGAACGGGCAACGCAAGAATCAGAGGCACCGAGGGCGAGGAACCCGAGGAGCCCGTAGAACCTCCACGCCTACTTGGGGAAAGACACCCCGGGACGAAAAACGGGTCCCCGGGAAGTGGTCCAGAGCTCTGGAAGCCGAAACATGCACGGGGGATGGATGTCCGAGCGATGGCGAGGGGCCTTGCCTTCGGCGCATACTCGATTTGCCCCAGGGGTCGCCCCCCCGCCCACGGTGGGTTTTCAGCGTCGGAGGCCCGGGGCACGGCGCGTTGAAACAACGGCAGCTCAAAATTGGTCGGCCGGAGGAGGTCCTCGGGGGACAGTGCCAGTACAACATGTTCCTTGCGGTCGAGTATGCGTTCGAGGGCATTCGAACAAGACCACGACATGTCGATGGCCTGGGTCTCTGCATCGCCCGCAGGGGCGCGAACCCTGACTCTGGATCTGCGGTACTGTGGTGTGTGTCGGAGATGCACCCCGAACGATTCGAAAAAGTACGGCGGATAGTTCCGCCTCAGAGAAATCAGGCGGCCGTTTCCGCAAAAATGCACGGCGGAAACAGCGACGGCAAAGCAGGTCGGAAGTCGAGATCAAAGGATCCTGAAAAGCAGGGCGGAGAAAGCCCGCTCTGCCTACGGCATCGCCCAGCGTGGGGCGGATGCGGAGTCCAGGACCGCGCTTGGCGCGCCGCGGCCCGGAGCCGCACAGCGGCCGCGGCGGCGCGAGGGCACGGCGGCCACCTCGCACTGCGCCGCGCGGGGCGCAGGTCACGCTGGCAGCGCGGCGTGCGCCCGCTCGGCCCGTGCGGGGGGGCAGCCGCAGTCGCCGCCCCCCGAGTTCGGGAGCAGCCAGCCCGTCCACGGCAGCCCCGCCCCGAGACATGCCTCGCGCCGCGAGCACGCCCACGACGGGAGTTTTTGTTGGCCGTTTCCGGCCTCTGGGCGCCCTCGCTGGGCCTCGGGACCGTCAGACCACTACTCGGGGTGCAAGACGGGCTCTTGGGAGAGGGTCGGGACTTCTGGGGACCGGGCACCGCAAAAGCCAAGACATCGCATGTCTGGGCCCATCTCTCTTCCTCCTCCCTCTCCCCGGCGGTGCACAGAGGGTCGGAGGAAAGAAGGCACGGATACCGCCACTCGTCCTGGAGAGCCCTCGTCGTGACGGCCGGATTCTCCCCGAAATTCTGGTCAGAACGTATTCCAGGAGAGGTCTGGGGAGCAGCGGTGTCGGTATCTTCTTCCCCCTCCAGAAGTGGGCGGGCCGAATGTGGCGGCCCTCTGAGAGGCCCCCCCCTTTTTTGTTCGCTGAAGCTCTCCCGCCTTCGGCAGAAGCCCTCTTAGAAGTTGAGCTTGTGAGGAAGACCACCGTTTCTGAGAAGGCCAGTCCTTTTTTCGCACGCCACACTATTCGTCGTCGTCGTCGTCCTCCTCCTCCTCCTCCTCCTCCTGAGACGTACATGAAATAAACAAAAAAATTGTTAGTGACCTACCCCACAAAGCTTAAAACAGACAGCTCACGCTCAGAGCGTTCCGTTGCCATTTGGCTCGAGCTCATGTCAGTACGGTTCTGTCAGCCGCTGAGACGCGCTGCGGCTGGCAAGATCTCTCGAAGGATGGCGATCCGCATAGACACCGCCTACTTGCGAAGCATAGGATTGCCGATCGAGTGCGATGGCTCCCCAGTGGGCAGTGCTGCTTCGGTTGGCGGTCCTGTGAAGGCTGGGAAGCTGGCCGCAAAAGCAGGTAATCTTGCACCAGATACAAGGACGGCGGCCGAGAAGCTGGCGGCAAAGCCGGAGGCAGAACCAGGAGTACCCAAACCACTGGGTTGTTTGCAGACGTTGCCAGAGACCGCTAAGGAGACCGACACGATGACCGCGTTGACAGAACCTGTCTACTTTTTGGACACGTACATGTTCGAACTTGCTGGCTGCAAGCTTCTGGAGGCGGCGGTGGCGCCAGAAGCACCCACGGGTGCACCAGAGGGGCACATCAAGATTCAGATTGTGCTGAATCGCACTGTTTTCCATCCGCAGGGCGGTGGACAGCCCGCCGACGTGGGCGAGCTTTCTGCCCCTGGCCTGCCGACCCTGAGAGTATCCTTCGTCTCGATGCGGAGAGAGGACAGAGGCATCCTCCACGACTGCGCCGTGACACAGGCAGATGCAGATGCCTGGGTCGGAGCCTCAAAAGCAAACGGCAGCGGTGCTCAGGTCTTGTGTAAGGTCGACGCCGAGTCGCGCATGATCAACGCGAGAGTTCATTCTGCAGGCCACCTCTTGGACGTGGCAGTGCAGAGCTTGGACCTCAAATGGGTACCCGGGAAAGGCTACCATTTTGTAGATGGCCCATACCCAGGCGATGCCAAGAGGGGTCACCACGAGGGGTGTTGCCGCCTCCCCGAGGAGGGGCACCCCTCAGGAACCCCAAACCCCTCAGAACCTCCCCGAAACGCGCAAACTTGTTCAAAACACATGTCGATCCTCAAAGCTCAATCACAAGGAGGAGCCGACGACCACCTGGCAGTGACCCCCCCTGGCAATGCCTGGCATACGTCGAGTACGTGCTGAACGAAGCCTCCAGGAGTAGAAGACGAATGAGAAGAAACGGCAGCAACATTGACTTTCGGTGGGTCCGGGCGCATTTGTTGGACGGGCGCTGGACCTCCCTCCCCAGCGCGCTGAGCGCGGAGGCGCCAGCATGGGGATTCAGCGCAGATCCAAGAAATCCGCGCCGACCTGCGCCGGTTGATGGTCAGGATCTCTGGCTTGGCGTGTCGCGCCGCCGGTTCTGGCCCACTGCGCCGCTGCGCGACACGCCAACCACGTCCGAGTCCCTGAGCGTCAACGTCCCGAGCCGTCCCCAGCCTCCCGCAGAGCGGAGCGACACGCAATCAGCTCGCAAGGCATAGCGTGCCGCCGGGGCCGCCGCCGCGACACGCTAAACAAAAGTTCCCGACCGTATGTCTAGGCCTCCCAGATGGGGTCGAAGTAGATGGGGTCGGAGGATCGCGCCACCTCGCCGATGCATCGATGATACGGCTCGATGTAGAGCTCGATTTTCTCCACGCCGACGGCGTCTATGCATCGCCGACGGCGCCTTTGCATCGCCAATGCATCGGCGATGCAACGGGGATGCATCGGGGGTGCGGCGCGATCTCCCGACCCCATCTACTTGGACCCCATCTCGGAGGTCTTCAGTCTGTTTAAGTATGCTGTTTCTTCTTCGTCTTCTTCGAAGGAAGGTCGATCCGAAGAAGGCTGGCGACAAAGAAAAGCTCACAGCCGACCTGCAGGCCGCCATCGACGAGCTCGTGAGCGGCGGCGGCGCGGTGACGACCAAGTACATGGCGGGCGTGAGGACCGTCGCGATCGGGGGCCTGGAGTGCCCGTGCGGAGGCAGTCGAGGAGCAACAAGATGTGTTTGCCATCCCGAGCCTCGAGCGGCGACGCGAGTATCGGGATGGCTCATCGCCTGTTTCGAGTCTCGGGGCCGTCAGACATCGACCCGGGATGAAAGACTGGCCAGCATGGACCCGGGCGGGATCTAGGAAGCAATTTTGAATAGGTTTTGACATAGATTGGTGGCCGCGCGTAAGAGGGTCCCTTCGCCAGAGTGCGTTTTTGGTGCCGGCCCACAGGGGCCTCCCCCTCAGCACTGGCGCGCGCGCGCTTGGATTCGCCCCCCCCCCCCCCGCCGTTTCCGAAAGGCGCGCACCAAAGGCACACCGTTGCCCAGGGTCACTCTGGCGACACAGACAGAACTTTCGGAGCTCCGCGCGGCAGTCTTGGGCCTTCTCAGCAGGGTCAGAAGGCCTCCAGAGAAGCTTTCTAAGCCTCTTCCGAAGCCGCAGATGGCTTCCCAGAAGGCTGGAGGGCTTCTGAGAAGCCCCGCTGCCTTCTGAGAAGGCCTGCCCCCTCTCGGCGCACCGCCGGTGTGAGCAGACGGCGCGGACATGAGCTTCCGGAGGCCCGCGCGCTAGTCTCGGGCTGGCGCTGGGTCTCCCTCTCCCCGCCGCCGCAGGCGGCACCGCGGCCAGCGCGCCCCGCGCGCCAGGGGGGGGGGGGGGCGTGGCGGCCCGAGAGAGATCCGCGCGGACCGCAGGCGTCTGCGCGGATGTCCGCACCTCCGTTCTTTGCGCGGCGCTCCCCGCCCAGGGCCTGCTGCATATCTCGCCGCGCCTTCTGTCCACTTCGGCCTGCAGGGGGCCGCTCTCGGGCCCCGGGGCCCTGAAAGCTGGACCCGGGGCGCCGAGCCAATGGGGAAGGGGTCGGGAGCTCCGGTGCCGCGGAAGGATGTCTGGGTCGAGGGTGGGCTCTGGCAGAAAGGTCGATCGACTGACATCACATGGAGGATGCCGTGGTCGGCGTTTCAGGGGGCCACGCCGATTTCGGCCCGATCTGGAGCCCCGGAGGGGCCGCAGATCCTCGTGTTCCCCCGCTCCCGCCCCTGCGAACAGCCCCAGCATCGAGAGCTCATGCCCGCGCGCATCTGTGCTGCAAGCTTTTTCCTTTCAGGCACTCACGTCAGGGACTCCAGCGAGCTCGGGAAAGTCGTGATCAAGAAACTGCAGGCCAAGGGAGGCAACATGCGCTTGTCCTACAGCGTGCAGTAGCAGATCCGATCCCACCACCACGCGTAGTTGTGTTTGACTCCTCTCCGGCCGTCGGTTCCAGGAGATTTTCCTGTCAGAAGCGGCAGCAGTGCATTTCTGAAATACGCAGGAGGTTTTTTTTTTGACTATACTTAGCTCGTTGCAAGTTAGCTTGAGCGCAGCGGCCAAAAGGACTGGCACAGGCTGCACACGAGAAGCCCGAGAGCATGGACGCTGAGCTGCTTCCGCTCTCGTCCCGAAAACTGTCAGGAGAGAGGTATTGGCGCTGAGGGAGGGGAGGAGAGGAATCATAACGAAGGAGAAGGAGATTGCAGCGCCGTGCGAAGAGAGACATCAGCGGCACCCTGCTTCGTTGCCCATAGAAGGGCAGCCCTCGATGCAGAGAGCAGTGCGAGGCAGGAAAAAGAAGAGACCTGCCTGGGAGTGCCTTCCGAATTTCGGACTGCTATTAAGAGGGAAGAGCTGGACGGAGGGCCAAAATGGCCAGGCCGCATTGCGGCTGTCCAAACCTCCAGGGGAGGAGATCTGGACTGAAGGAGGAGCTAGGGAAGTCAAAAGAGGCGGGAGAGGAAGAAGGGCCGGAATGGCATGGCCGTGTTGCAGGGCGTACGCTGCAGCTGAGAGGCCTGTACGGGCCGACCGCGGCGGGGAGGTGGGTGTGCCTGGGCGCTAGCCGAGACCAGACAGCAGAGACCCACCTCCGTGTGGCCCCTCACAGGCACACAGGGACCAAGGGGACCCTGCTACACCTGGACGAGGGCCAGAGAGACAAGCCAAGGCCGGTGCCGCGTTCCTTCCACGAGGCACATATGTTTGCCGCGGCCTTGCCTCAGCCGCGCAGCCAAGACGCACTGGGGCCTGGTGCCTGTCTGCATAAATGGCACCTTCGCTGGCCGCCTTGGCCGAGAGTTACTCGGCGGGGCTGTGCTGTAGCATCGTTAGGTAATGAGCTGCCAAGGTGAACCAAGAGTATTAGGCCAGCTCGCCACCTAGGAGACTCAGCCGTGGCGAGTCTGCGAATTGCTGTGTGAGCAAGCCGATCGCTGTAAAGCGAGGCTGCTAAGAAGTGCCGCGTTGGCCCCACTCATGCGGCAAGGTGGAAGGTCGAGCCCCTGATTGGCAACGACTCTTGCACCGGCCCTCCAGGGGGGGCCGGTAAAAAGCAGAGTGACTAGGTGGGCTGCCGAAGTATGTATTAGGCTGGCCCCGCCCCTGTGTGGCGCATTGACGGTTGCATCGTGGGCGCCCATCCCATATTACCTGAGATGGTGCCGGCTGGATGCCGCACAGTTAAAGGCCTTACGGGCGCTGAAAGAGTTGCAGCTGCAGCTGAAAGGCCTGTGCGGGCCGTCCGCGACGGGGATGTGGGTGTGCCTGGGCGCTAGCCGAGACCAGACAACAGAGACCCACCTCCGTGTGGCCCCTTACAGGCACACAGGGACCAAGGGGACCCTGCTACACCTGGACGGGGGCCAAAGAGATGCGTCGGGGCAGAGGCCACGTTCCTCTCATGAGGCACTTGTGGCTAGGACTGTCTAGGTAGTGAGCTGCCAGGGCGAACCACGAGTATTAGGCCAGCCCATTCCCTAGAGACTCCGCCGTGACGAGTCTGCGAATTGCTGTGTGAGCCTAGCCGATCGCTGTTTAGCGAGGCTGTTAAAATGTGCTGCGCTGGCCGCACTAGTGCAGCAAAGTGAGAAGTCGCGCCCATGAGTGGCGACTACTCCTGGATAGGGCCCTCTAAAAGAGGGGCCGGTGGAGAAAAGAGCGCTAGGTGGGCTGCCGAGGTAAGTATTAGGCGGCTCCGCCCCTGTGTGGCACATTTACGGTAGCGCCATGGGCACCCATCCCATATTGGCCTGAGATGGTGTCGACTGATGCCGCAAGAGCTGCAGTGAGAGTGTGCACCTGAAGGCCTCACTGCAGCGGAATGTATGCCGGCTTGGCCGGCCTTAAATTGGAGACGCGGTGTCTCCTTTATAAGAGTTTGGCTAGCAAAGAAGGCTTGGGCTGAATAGGTGGTGGGCTGCAGGCAAACTAGAATCTGAGCATTGTGCTAACCCACCACCTATGCGTGAGGACTCAGCCGTGGCGAGTCTGCGAATTGATATGTGTGAGCGGCGCTCAGCCGCCTCACTGTTAGCGTGGCTGCCCAAGGTTGCAGTGCCGCACAATGACGGGAAGGGCTGGATGCTGCTAGACTCGCGTGGCATACAACTCAGCTATGCAGGACGGCTCGACCGACCTTGAGTCGGAGCGGCATGGCTCCAGCTGTTTAGGTGGTGGGCTGCCGAGGTGGAGAGAAGACGCTGAAAGGATGTGGAAAGGAGAGTATTAGGCGAGCCCACCACCTAAGTATGCACGCTGCTAGTGGCGCCGAGGTCGCTTAGGTCGACCTAGAAGGGCGCCGACTGATGCGTCATTAGCGTGGCTCGCTCAGGCACTGAAGGGCGATGGGTTGAGAGTGCGGGCGGCAGCAGAGAGCGCCGAGAGACCTGCCGCTGTCGCCGCCGCACGCGCCTGGGCCTCTTGTGCGGCAGCCTGCTGCTGGTTGTGGTGGTTCCTCAGCATGGCCTCCACCTCAGAGATGGTCGCCAGGCCTGGGGTCTCGATCCACTCCCAGTCCCAGGTTTCGACGACCTGGCCGTCGATGACGTCCAGCGACTTGAGCTTCCAGACGAACGGGTATAGCATGCCGTTGGGCATCTTCCATTCGCCCGGGTAGGTGGAGGGCCACCACTTTTTGAACTCGCGCGTGGCGGCCGTGTATTGGGAGCCCTGCCAAGCCGAACCAGCATAGGTGTCCCCTGGGAGGCCGAAGAGCTCCCGCGTGTCAGGCGACGCCCTGCTGGCCTCGGCCGCGCCCGCCTCCGCCGCGGCCGCAGCTGAACCACCCGCGGGAGGCGTGGGCACCATGGCGGCGTGGGGCGCGCTGAGAGAAGGGGGGGAGTGCCGAGGAAGCAAAAAGAAATAGCCCATAAGCCAACGGCGGCCAGATGTGAGTGAAACCTAGCTGGCCTGTGCTAGCATCTGTGTGAGGAGGACCCTCCTGAAGGGCCGACTGATGCACGCCTGGCCTGGTGCGGAGTCTATAGGGATGAGGATGTTGCCGCTACGCATGTTGACCCGCAGCGCAAGACCGGTGCGGTAGGGTATGCCCGTGCCAAATAGGATGGGCCGTGCATCCATCTCCTGAAGGATGGGGAGGTGAAAAATGCGCGGCCTTTCCACAGAGGATGGCAGCCTGGTCTCCTGCCCATGGAATTGCTCCATTAGGAGCCCTACATTGATGGGCAGTGGGGACCAAAGCGAAATGGGGCCTGTCGTTATGACTACCATCCACTGCACTGCTGTAGGCGGTGGTGGCGCTGCTTCAGTGGGGGCGCAGCGGAAGTCACCGTGCTCGAACTGCGGCAGGTGCTGCGCCTCTGGGGTCGGCATGGCCTGAGGGCTTAGGGTTCGGGGAGGCGGAGGATTCGAGCGAGGTGGGACAACGGGAGGCAGAATGGCCGAACCATGAGCATGGCCTGGAAGTCTATAAGGATGGGGCTGCCGGCCGCTGCATCCTGCAAAAGCCTGTGAGGGCTGAGGGAGGCCTGCTCCCAGGCCCCCGATTGAAGTAGGACCAGAAAAAGTTGGTTCGGCACGTAAACTGAAACTAGCCCTATGGTGGGTGAGAAACGGGCATCGTAGGGACCGTCCCCCGCAGCACATTGGGGGTAGATGTGGAGTAGGTTGGGGGAGTTGGCCTCGCGCCAGCGGCCATGCCAGCGCTCGAGTGTGCGATTAACGGCCGTGGGCAAATCTAGGTGAAGCAGAGGGCCCACGAAGGAGCGCGCGTGTGGCCATGCGGGCGGCCCGCTCTCGAGCTGCCATGTGGCTTGCCACTGGGGTACCGCATTATGCTGGCACACCGTGGTGGGAGACAGAATGAGTGCGTGGCGCCTAGCGCCGCCGCTGAGAAAACGGTAGACTTGCTGGTGAGCCAAAAGAAGCCGCTCAGCTAGATGCTTCCATAAGGAAGTCAAGCGAGAGGCTGGATGCGCGATGCTTCGCGGGTCTAATTGTTGCCCGGGGTACACCTCAGCAGCGGGCACGTCCTCGTCTGCATCGGCGTTGTCCTGGATACTGGGCTCGCTCCTCATGGCCTGATGGGGATGAGGCAGGAAGGGGAGCTTATAGAGGAAAGAGGGAGAGGTTGGGCTTAGGCTGGGGGCTAGCTGCCTGGCAAGGGTCTAGCGCCTGGCAGCCTCACCTCCTTCATGAGGTTTGCGCGGCCTCCTGGGCGACAGACGCTGACCGCAATGCGAGAGGCTTTCGCCATCTCGCAACTGCATCTTAAGGCGCTCCCTGTGTATCCTGTCGATACGGAGCTGGTCCTGCCTATGCTCTTCTTTGAGCTGAGCAATTTTGTTCTCGTGCTCCTTGAGAAATGCGCTGCGCTGTTCGTCCGCTGCTGCGGCTGACGCAGCTGCAGCTGCGACTGTAGGCGGCAGGCGCGTAGCTACATGGCCAGAATGGTGAGACTTGCGAGCCTTGTGATGCCTTGTAGGAGGTGAGGCTGGTGACGAGGCCGGGCCGTGGGAATCCTGCGGGCTACTTTGAGCCTCTACTGGATCTCGGCGCTGTGGCATAGGCTGCTCGTCCGAGGCTGCATCAGACGCTTTGGCAGGCGAACGTGAGCGCTGTGCTGCATGGGCGCGCGGTGCGCCTTGGCCTTGCGAGCTCTATGGTGCCTAGGGGGAGGAGAGGCTGGAGGTGTCTGCGTGCCGAGGGACTCCTGCGGGCTGCTATGTGCCTCAGCAGATTCCCTGCGTATTGGCGCAGACTGTTTGAGCGCGCTTTTGCGCGGCTCGTTGCGTAAGCGCGAATTATGGGCCGCCTTGGGGGGCTTGGCCGTGAATTCGTCCGCAAATGAGACCTGCTTGCGCTTGCGAGTTGCAGAGGCGCGGGGCGCCACTGACTGTTCCGCCGGCTCTGGAGAGTCGAGCGGAGGAAATGGTGAGGAGGCAGAGGAATATGAGGCGTCGTCCACCTGATCCAGCCTTCTAGGCGATGCTGGGGGACTAGAAGGCTTGCTTGGCTGGCTCTTGAATGGCGCAGCTTTGCGGGACTGTTTGCGAGGCTCGCGCAGGGGTGGAGGCGAGGTGCACGCTGAGAGGGGTGGAGAAAAAGGAGAAGCTGCCTGGCCTATCCAGCCTTCCGGAATGGCTGCTTTAGCAGGCACCCTGGGGTGCTCTGGGGGCGGCAAGGGAGGCAAGGCTGGCGGAGGTGGCGGAGGACGAAAAGTGGCCCCGTAAATGTGCCTGCCTCGACCCATGGGGGGTCCGCTGAAATCGCCAGGCGGCCGCGGGGGATCTGGGGCAGGTGGGGTGCTGGACAGAGAGCGCTGCACCGCTTCGGCTACCTGGGCGAATTGGGCAGGCGAAAGGAGGGGTGGAGGAGCTGAGGCGGACCGAAATTGGCCCGGTGGGGGATGCTTGGGCCTGGCTTCCCGCGGCACCAGCACCCATGGCCGTCTGGACATGGGAGGTATGCCAGCTAAGCGTCGAAGATGTCGGCGTTGAAGTCCTGCGGGGCGGGCGAGGCGGGGTGCCACATGTGAGAGAAGGAAATTCCCGTGAGCGGGACGGGTCGTGCCGCTTGACGGGAACGTTCGGCCCTGATTTGCCTGGCCCGCTCCCTATTGCACTGGATGCGCCTTTTCTGATCCAGAGTTAGGGAAGGCGGGGGTGGCGGCGGAGGGAGGGTGGAGGGAAAAATGGGGGCTGTGCCCAAAAAGTGCATGGCCTCTTGTTCCGCTTCCGAGTCCTGATCTGCGGGATCAGGCTGCTCGTGAGGCTCTGCGGGGAGGTCGCTATGGCGCCGCGGCTCGCGGGGCCTGGAGAGAGCCAAAAGCCTGCGGAAGCGGTCCAGCCCCCCATCTACCTTGGCACGGGTGCGAGGGGCGGAGGAATCAACAAAGTCGGGGCCTAGCCAAAAGTCGCTGGTCATGGAAGCGGAGAAGCGGAGGAGGGGAGCCAGGACCGAGGGGTCCGACTGGGGAAGAGGATCCTGTGGGTCGTCAACCAATGGTAAAATGACGTCCTGATATATAGCCTGGGCGAGACATTCGCAAAGGGCAGAAGGATAGGTCTTTTTGTCAGCAGTGAAAAAGCGGTCATTCTCGTCCTTACCTAGAAGTGTACGATGTGACCCCCGTGGGTGCGTGCACTTGGTCCCTTGGGGACGGTTATTTAGGAGCTCTGGGAGCGAGGGAAGGCGTAGCGATAGCAAGCGCGTGGGGGCTTTGCCGAATTCGTTATGAGGTCGGCAAGACGGTTGGAACATGCACTGGTCGATGTCCGTGGTGCGGACAGCCGGAGCAGCAGCCAGGGCCATTAA